TATACCAAATAAAAAAAATTAAAAAAGTGCTTTGAAAGAGCTTTGGTTATTATCTCATAAACCATCACATATTCTGTTCGTGAGAAAGTAATTATAATTAACAGGCCTGATCAAAACTTCTCCTGCTATTACTAATCAACAGTTGGATATTTTTAAACAACGTTTTCTTGTAGGAAATAATCATCAAAAATGGAGGATTGTCCCTATGAAAAGGTGAAGTGGATTGCCTCGGGTGGATTTGCAGAAGTATGGTATGTCATCATAATGTTCATTCTGTAATAACTCGGAGCCCCTTGATGGTTGACTTTACGGTTGACTGTCATGAAAATGATCATCATATAGGAAAGGAATTGATAAAAAGAACAAAACAGCCAGTGGCTATCAAAATTGTTGATTTGGAAAATTCAGAAGAGGATATCGAGGATATTCAAAGAGAAATTCATGTTCTCAAAACAATGGATTGCGAGAATATTGTCAAAATTTATGGCAGTTATGTTGTTCGACAAAATTGTGGATAGTTATGGAGTTGGCAGAGGGAGGAAGCGTTGCCGATCTGATAAAACCTGGTCCTCTCGATGAACAATATATTGCAGTAATTTTGAGAGAAACTTTAAAAGCTCTAGAATATTTGCACGCGGAACATAAAATTCATCGTGATTTGGTAAGTGCAAGAATAACTCGAAATTGGAATGAATAATTTATTCAATTATTCGTTATTATTCGTTATTATATATATCTTTATCTATTTAATTATTTTATTATGATTTTTAATGGAACCATTTATTTTTGAACGAATATAATATTACAGAAAGCAGCCAATATTCTCGTTGGCGAGAATGGAGAGGTCAAACTTGCAGATTTTGGTAGGTTTTTTTGAAATCGAAATATTCAGACATTAATGTTGATTTTTTGAAACCTGCATACATTACGAACATGAACAAATAATCTTGTTCGTTCATTTATTCATGCATTCATCAATTGAAAATTCAATACCTTCTTTTATGCACGTACTTGTCCCATGTCTAGGCGTGGTTGGAGTCTTGTCAACAAGTGGAACCACTGATGAAACCATTCAGAAACGATATAGTTTTGTAGGGTAGGTGTCATTTAAGATTATATAAATTCAATGTTTCATTTCTCTGTAGAACTCCCTTCTGGATGGCCCCAGAAGTCATTAAACACGAAGGAGCTGATCAAAAAGCAGATATTTGGTCACTTGGAATAACAGCCATTGAAATGGCAAAAGGAGAGCCTCCATATGCTCATGTGCCCATTAATACTGCCTTTTTTCTAATTCAAAAGAATGAGCCGCCCACTCTCGAAGAGAACAAATTCTCTAAGGCATTTAAGGAATTTGTCATGTTGTGCTTGCAGAAAAATCCACAAGATCGATTATCAGCAAGCGATTTATTGAAACACAAATTTATCAGAACAGCAAAAAAGAACACCATACTGGTCGATCTCATACAGAGAAAGGCTGCATGGGACAATAACAAAAACTAAAGAAGGGAAGAGGTGGCTCTTCAGACTCAGACAGTGACAGCTCGCTCGACGACGAATTATCAGACGATGATGACGACAGTGAAAAACAAAAATATACCACGCGACAAGGAAAAGGTTTTTGGGAATTTGGATCTGATGGAACAAACACAGTTCGAGAAGTTCCAAATCTACCTTCCTCTTCGACCACCACAAACACACCAATCTCAACACCTCCAACCAAGAAATCTTCCTCTGACCAAAAGAATGACACTGTCAACTCTGTGTCATCAGTGAGCACAATTTCAAGCAATGCTTATCCATCCGAAAACGAAGGAACCCTTCACGAGATTCAATAGAAACTAGAAGTGACGATGAAACCTCTCCTAGTACCCATACCATCGTTCAACGTAAGGACAAGACACAACCAATGGATTCTGTTCGAAAAGGTGCATTACCCTCAATCATGTCTGAATTAATGAAAGAAAATAATAGTACAATATCACCCGCAAGCACGAGCTCCATAATGGAGGACATCATTATTCCATCATTTAAAGATGCAAAATCACAACAAGCAGCAGCATCGTTATCAACCATTGTCGAAGAATTAGAAAAGGTTGAAAAGAAAGATTCTCAATTTGCCCAAAACCTTCTTGCTGCTCTTATTACACGAGTTCAAAAAAGTGAAAATATACCTCCACAATTTAAACATGTAGCATCGACAGAATCTTCAATTGCCTCCAATTCAGAAGGTATGGAAGCTATCAGCCAGAATTTACTCAAACGATGGAAACTTAAAGTGAAAACTCTTGACCACTGAGAACTGAATGTAATGTAGATAAAAACTCTCAAATTAAGGAAATTTTCAGCAGTTATGCTTATTTGAACCTATGGATCACCTGACAATCGCGGAGACTTTCTGGTATTGGAATCTTCTTGGTGAAAGTTCTTGGCAATGGCTGTTCCTATAGGAATCCTTAAACGTGTTTCCAGTCGATATAATTATATTAATTGGAGGTGGCGTGTAAGGAAATTTTAGATAGAATGAATAATGAGAAATGTCAAATTGACGTCAGAATTTGAAAACGTAAATTTTAGTGCTCGCTCAATTCCACGCGCATTTGTGCGGTCATCGAATAGAACAAAGTTGGCATGTCACCCAAACAGATCTCAACTTGAAAATTGTAATCAATCCCTGATTGCAATCGATCCCTCTCTCTAAATTAAGAAATCATTTCAAAAAAGCATGCAACACGAAGAGGATGACCACCATCATCGGCTTTCTTCTTCTTCAATGACCCACCACACGAGTAATCTTGTCTCTGATCCATCAGCACCATCATTCTCGGAAGAAGAAGAAGAAATAGGCTTTGAATCGGACTCTCTGAGTGCAACCTCGTCAACTGCCATCTCAACCAATTCCTTCCTCTCTGTAACGACCCTCCATGCTGCTGCTGCTGCTGCTGCTGCTTCAAATCCTTCATCATCAGTGCCAGTTGGCTTGTTGAACAGCCATCCGAGTAATGGTAGTAGTAGTAGTGGGCATGGATCGAGTCCCATCTCTTCATTGTCTCCTCGTTTTTCTTCTTTGCAAAGTATGACCACTCTTTCTTCAACGCCACCACCACCTCACAATTTTGGAGGAAACACCACAAGTGTATCATCATCAGCACCTCCTTCCTTCTCGCTCTTGACGACGACACATTCGTCATCCTCTTCCGTAGATCGAATGATTAAAACCTTGTCATTATTCTTACAGGATGTTCATTCATCGGAAGATTTGCATTATTGGGATTCCAATAACGAAACGAATCGAGAAAACTTGCGAAAATATCGCTGTCGACGTATCACATGCAACGATTGTTTGAAAGGATTGAACAATATCATCAACAAAAGAATCGAGAGGAGACTCGATGAGCAAGGCCAAACACTTGTTTCAATGGGTGTTGGATAAAATTGTGAACACTTCTGATTCCTATCATGCCACAAATTCGGATATGGATATTTTGATTCAAAAATTTAGGACAGTTGTGACAGAAATTGAGGTGTTTTTAAAAAGTTGAGAAATGAAAAGAAGAGACAACAAGGAGTGTGGTTGTGAATTTGCGATATTTTGGAGCTTTAAATCAAATCATTTTTACTGGAAAATCGACCACTTGCCAATTCATACTTTCCTCTATTATTAATCCTCCAAAAAATTTACGAGGCATAACGTTTAATAGAAATGTGAACATTGAAACGTTTGATAGTATTCTAGACCCAGAAAATACAATTTTTTCGAGCTTACGATTCATTGATTGTCACGAACTACTTCACAAATTAGAAGATGACCAATGCTTGGGTGAATATGTGTTGAATCAAGTGAAATCTGTATATATTGAAAAGTGCGAAATTGCTAACTTGAGCTGTTTGTTTAAACCCCATCGAATATGGAAACAACTTTCAAAACTGAGGATGAGAAAAACCAAATTGAATGACATTTTCTCTTTCAGTGATTGTATTCCAACTATTCGAGAATACCACATGTCACACAACTATCTATCATGTGTACATATCCCATCTTGTATAGTTACTTCGAATTTAGCGATTTTAGATTTAAGTTTTAATTTATTAGAAACTCTTGACAGTTTCTCGAGAGTTAAACTTCCCAACTTGGAATTTTTAGATGTTTCACATAACTACTTGACCAGTGTGAAAGGAATTTTACGAGCTTGCGGAAAGAATAGCCTCAAGCAACTCTATCTTCATGCGAACAATATTTCCCAATTTGAAGATGTCTATTTCTTAAATTATTTTGAAAATTTGCATGCATTGACACTTTTAGAGAATCCCATTGAGAACGAATCAACTTATCATCAAACCATATTGAATTTATTTTCCAACTCTTCGAAACTCTTCTATTTTGATGAAACCGAATATGAATTGAAACAATTCAAAACTTATTCATTTCCTCTTGTAAGTGATGAAGAGGTACGAGAGGCATCAGAAATGTCTGCTGTCACTGTATTGCCATCTTCTATTCCACCTCCACCTCCAATATTCTCTAATATCCCACCTCCACCTCCCATGTTTTCCAACATGGATGAAAGTGTAGTACCACCACCGCCACCTCCTCCAGATATGGGTGGAATTGTTCCTCCACCACCACCTGGGTCGGTTCCTCTTCCTCCAAATGTTCGAGTGATTCCAAGAAAAACAAAAAAAGAAGTCTCTAAAACAAAGAATATTCATTGGAAACCTGTCACACTGACCAAAACGAGAAGTAGATCCGTTTGGAATGTAGAAGAAAAAGTGGATGTCATTTCTGTGGATCATTTACAAAAATTGGAGACCATTTTCTCGGCCTCCAAGGATTCTCCATCTCGAATAGGTTTAGCTAAAAAAGCCATCTCCAAGGAATTAGAAACCGTTATTGATTCCTCTCTATCCAGAAATTTGGAAATTTTAATTAGTGGATTGTTCAAACAGTGTGATGTGATCTCCATCATTCAAAATATCAATCATCTAGATACTCAGAGATTATCAATAGAGCAAATGAAAGCCATTTCTCAGTTTGTTCCTGCCATTGAAGAGATGAGAAAAAGATCTTTATTGTAGAGAAGAATATTCAAAAATTGAAACCTGCACTTATGTGGACATGGCATTTGTCACAAGTTCAACATTTACCAATCAAAATTCAACTCATGCAATACATCAAGTCCTTCGACACCAAGTCTCTCCTCTCAATCATTGAATTGAAATACAATGCTTACGAACAGATACAAAATTCAAAAGCATTTGTGAAAGTTCTTCACATTCTCTTATTTCTAGGAAATTATATGAATCGAGGAAAAACCAAACTTGAAGACGCTCAAGGATTTCATTTGAACATTCTTCCGAAATTGAGTGATACCAAAGCACAACACAATTCAAAAACCTACACATTAATTCACTTTCTTGCAGAAACTTTAAAGAAAGATAGTAATGACCTCTATAATTTTGAAGCAAATCTTGAGAATTATGTTTGTAATCCAGATATTGTCAACACGAGTTTGGAAACGATACAACTCAATTTGAAAGAACTCGAAACTGTGAAAGATTATTTCCTTGAAAATCGGCAGCTCTTGCTTGCTGGAGATGAGGCTAAAACAGAGCATGATGAAGTTTTGTGTAAAAACTTTTCATCATTCTTGGCCCAATGTGAAGAATCAGTGTCACAAGTTCAAAAAGCGTTCAATAAGCTTCAAAATAGCTTTACGATGGCCTGTGACTTTTTCCATTTCAATTATGATGAGGTCGCTTCACAAACGAATGGAAGTGGCAGTGATCAATTATTGGTCATCATACGAGACTTTATCATTCAATTCAAGAAAGCAAAGGAAGACATTGAAAAGGAAGAGAAGAAAAATTCGCAACCATCAACACCTTCGCGTAGGGGCTCAGTCATGATGCGGGTACAATCGATTTCTGAAATGAAAGTGGAAGCTCCTTCTTCATCGACGACGATGACAAGTTCGCCCTTATCGACCTCCCCAACATTAACTCATCACAATGACACGATTATTCGGAATTACCGCAACCGAAGAAAACATAGCCTTAAATCTAAGAGTTTTTCATCATTTGCAGAGTTGCAAGCAGACTTGGGACAACAGACAGCCACCCAATCCTCACCAACCTCATCCACGAATACCATCCCCACAGAAAGTGAAACCATGGTTGATTCCAACATTAGGTGTAGAGAATAATTTATTAATGATGGTGAGGTTGTTGTTGTTGATTATTTTGGTTTTCTTGTTGTTGCTTGGACCTTGAAATAATTGTTTGAATCATGGCTTCGATTTGTTTTCCGAGTTCAGCAAGATCCAAAGCCGTCACACAACTCACATTCACCAGTTTTGAATTAATATCTTTAGATGTAAAAAGATTAATTATAAAATCTCTGGCAATATTTGGGTCCTTTTCTCCAGTATAGGTTTCGAAAGTGTCTTGTAATCTCACTCCGGCATTAATTTTTTGTTCAAAAGGTCATACTTGTTGAATAGTAAATAAACTTGAGCATTAGTGAACCATCTCGAGTTGATGTGGTCCTCGAACAGTTGAAGAGATTCTTTCATACGGTTAGTTTGGTCATCCTCATAACACTTTTGATCAAATTCACTCATACTTGTCACAAACAAGACGACATCAACTCCTTCAAAATGATGTATCCATTTTTTACGTTCTGTGAATTATCAAGTTGTTGACATCACGTTCCGACCATATTCATTCAAAATTTTCCAAGAACAAATTGTCACAATACCATCAAAAATGTAAGAAAGTGTTCCAATAATTATGTTTCACAAGATATGGTAGAAATAACTCGAGTTAAACATACCATTTCTCTGTCCACCGACATCTATCATGACAAACTCGGTATTATGAGATACAAATTTTTGTTCAATGAGACCGGTTGTTTTCATTCTGGCTCTCACAATATCTTCCTCAGTAGGTATATAATTTTCCTCACAAATTCGTTCCAAGTTATCAAAGTAGTATTGAGCGGAGTCTTCAATTTGAAATGCACTTCGTTTTTGAAAAGTTCGTTGGACACCAGGATCTTCCCACAGTTTTTTAATTTCCAAACCGAGTTCCGAGCTCCATACACGTTCAATAGAGAGCAATACTTTGGATGATAGTTGGTCAATCTTGCCCGCTCTGAGATGTGCAAACGTGTATTGTGCAATTTTTTGTAAAATGCAACAGAGAGATAGTGTATGTAAAATGAGAGGAATATTGGCAATTCAATGCATCATAACAATTACAAGCATTTGAAAAGAGAATAAAAGATTTTCAGAATAAAACTTGGTCGTGGCGTCAATCACTTACCTTTCTCTATTATCTTCATTTTCTATCGGTATCTGGAATGTATGTGTCGCTTTTATCAGACTCATCATATTTCTCAGCACGTTCTCATAAATGACATTCTTTTTCAAAATTCTCTCCTCGACCGGAAAGCCATTGTTATAAATTCTTTGAAGTTGTTTGAATATTGTACCTGTTATTAAGTAATTAATATATGAATCGCAAAATAGCAACAATGATGAATGAAATAGCGTTCAGCACCATTTTAACACCAAAAGTTTCCAAAAATGAAAAGTTGTGGTCATCATTTGGTTAAAACGTTTTTTGATGGATAACACGGCACGGTCCCAAAACGGTGAATGATGTAAATGGCACTCTACAACCACTACTACTTACTTTTTCCAGAGTCACCAGCGCCCAATAACAGAATCTTTTTAGAGTCTAGTATTTCTTCTTCCTTTGAAGATGATTTGTCTTTGTTTCCAAAACAGCCCATGTTTTGTTGTTGATTGTAATGAGAATATAAAATTGTTGTGTGTGTAAATGAAGTGGTAGTGACGTCGTTGTGATTCAATGTAGAGGTGATGTTGTATAAATATTTGTTGAAATAATGTATACGATGAATGTTAATTGATGGTGATAATTGTGATGATGATGACGGATGACAGCGATGATGGGTGTTTCAAATAAATATTAATTGTGTAGGTCAATAGGAATTGATGATATGAAGACAAAGTTGTTCTCGGTATTCCACTTCCACACTAAACTATATCAACGATGATTCAATAATGATGGTGTTGTGTTGATGGATGGTATTCAGGATGAGAGAACTTGTACTCATTCAAAAAAGGCTCTCGTCCTGTGGTGATGATGATGTGGTACAAAATTTCCAAACCGATGATGATCACTCACTTTCTACTCTGATGATGAGTAATACAAGTTTGTCAGTCTGACTGCACAAGGTCTTCAGTAGAGTTGTAAACAAATGAAGAAGTGGTATAAAAGTGGTGGATTTGGGTGTTCGGCAGTTGTTGTTGTTGTTGTTTCGGTGGTGGTGGTGATGGTGGTGGTGACAGTGAATTCGTTTTATCGCCGACTACAAAATATGTTTTGGTTTGTATTTTCTTTTTTGAAAGGTTTTGAAAATTAAAATCTCACGCTTTGGAATGTATAAAATCAAAGAGGAGGGTGAGATAAAGGGGCTGCTACTAGTACGATGTAGTAAAAACTTTGGTTTCAGAAAAGAGGGGAAACTGCATCAAGTACTTGTTGAGGATTTAATGGTATTTATTGGTTGCAATCATCTTTGGAAAGACTGTAGATTCAGGAAATTTGTCCATTCTCCTGAAAGAGAAAAAAATAAACGAGAGTGTGCATGTTGAGTGTTGAGCAACCTTGGACGCGCGTCAAAGGCTTAAGAGCCCAAGATCTTTATCTAAGAGTGGTGGCCTGCTGCAATGTAGTACATTGGGTGAATTGAGGCTAATTTTCATCGTTCATTCTAATCACTCTAATGAACACTCGTAAAGCAACCAAGCCAATCAAAAGATGATTTTATTGAAACTGAACCCGCTTATTGAACTTGACCCAAAAAGACTTTCGGAACACTTGTTGAAACCACCCTCTTTCCTTCAATTCCGATGATATCACGATGACAGACACAAAACAAAAAATGTCTTCTTCGTATCACTCGACGAGCAGCCTTCTGAGTGGTGGAGAGAGCAACAGTCCGAGCACAGGAAGTAACAGCAGCACACCAACCAACTCCCTCGTTTCATACCCTGTTCTTCTTCCTCCCATCAACATTTGGAAAGTAATCATCAGAACAACAATGGCACAAGTCTTGGTCGGACTCTCTCAAGATCTTCTACTCCATTACGGGAACAGAGGAATAACAACAATAATCAGAGCGGATCATCATCGGAACATAATGTCCATCATCTTTCTCCGAGACAGCAACAACAACAGCAATCATCACCATTATCCATCGGTTCACCCTCCGAAGCTAGGCTTGTGATGGATCAATTGGACATGACTCAACTTGTGCATGAAAATAGCCAAAACTTACCTACCACAACCAATCCCTCTTCATCCTCTTCCTACGTGGCTATTGCTGATCCACCGTCCTCAGCGAGAAGTCAACTCAGCGCTGAGCTACAACATTTAAGATCTGTCTCCGATCCAACCTCTCTAGTGACTACCATGAGTATTTCTCATATTCAGAATAATTTGACAAATAATAATAATAATATAACTTTGCAAATGAATGTACAACAACAGAGAATGCCTTCTTCACCATCATCGGTATCCTCACAAAGTAGGAGTTATGTTTTTGTAATGGCTGAAAATAATGTAAAATTACAAAAAGCAAAACTGACATTTGGAAAGGAGCATTCTTCGAAAATACCCTCCTTGTTTAATAATGCGGAGTTGAGTGATTTCAAAATAATTTTGAAACATTCATCAAAATTGAATTTATTGAATTGTTTGGGCACAAGCGGAAATGCTGGTGATAACTCTACCAGCGAAAAGAACGAGTCTTCGAGTACCGAAGCTGAAGACGTCAACATTTCTTCATCGAGTATTACCACCAGCACATGCGGCAATGGAGTGAGTGGCAACACCATGCTACCACATTGCTTACAAAATACAAATCAATTCGAGGAGGAGCTTTCGATACGAACAATGCCAGAGAAGCCCTTTGTCACATTTACTGAGCTACATGTCAATAAGGCAATTTTAGCCTTATACAGCCCCTTTTTTATGAAAATGTTTTTCGGTGATATGAAAGAGAAAACGAGTACTCAAATAGAAATCTATGACCACTCTGTGATTGAGTGTGAAGGATATGATCATAACGTGAACGAAATTGGATATGAAGATGTCAGAATATTTTGTATCATGATACAGAGCATGTATAATCTTCAAGTTGAATGCTTGGAATGCGATTTGGCTCCTCTCTTGGAGACAGCTGACAAGTACATGTTTGGAGATTTAGTGACACTCTGTGAAGCTTATTTAGAGAAAAATTTGAATGAGTTCAATGTACTATCATGTATATTTTTAGAAAATTCCAAGTATCAATCACTCAAAACTAAGGCGAGCCGATTTATTGCCCAAAAGTTTTTCATTATTTGTAAGAATGGACAGTTAAATCTCATTGGAGACATTGAGACTGTATTGAGCATCCTTTCGAGGGATGATCTAAATGTCAGGACAGAAGACGATATTCTTCATGCTGCTCTGCAATGGATTGAATACGATTTTGCTACACGAAAGAAATACTTTCCAACCATTTTGAATCACATACGGTTACAATATTTATCACCAAGTTGTTTGAATCATTTAATTTCTCTCCCAGAAAAATACGTTCCAGATATGGAATTAACAGTCAAGTTACTGAAGAAAATTGCAAAGGCCATGAGCTGCCAACTCAACACCATTGTTCAAAAAGTAGAAAAGGCCAACCAACAATTAGCACTGCATAAGAGTCAGCCGTCATTAGCATTGATCACATCACTCGCCAATAGTAAGGATGCCAAAGATTCGAAAGATTTGTTATCGCCAAGCCTCAATACAAGTTTGCCCGTCATTCAAAACTTGGAACAAATTTCTGTTCTGAGCCCTACCTCCATATTCGACAGTTCTGAAGTGATTGGAGCCTCCAATAATGGAGAGGATGATTTTATTAGCACAAAACCTAGACATCATGTAAGCGGTATTGTGACTGGATTTGATGTGTTAATGATGGTAAGTGTAATTCACAATTCATCTAAAAGAGCAACATATACTATTGAATCATCTGTTGCTATTTCTCAATATTATGAACTCGAAATATTATTTACCACGCACATTGCATTTACATGAATGTTAATACATGAATGTTTCCAACTATAGGGCAAGGATCTTAAAATTTCAAACGATCAAAAGACTCTTTGCAAAGTGAATACAGATGGATGGTCGGTCAATTTATGTGTTGAACCGGTGAGAATGGGACAACGAAAGGAGCTGCACATTAAGGTGAATAAGACCATACATGGAATAATTAACATTGGAATTTGTAAATGTGATGTGAATTTAAATGGTAACCTCAATTATGAGAATGGTAAGTAACAAGAAGACGTAAGGGCATTATTTAATTTTTTTTATTTATTAATCAATGACTATAAATATGGCACTGAATTGCTTTCACTCCACGACACTCTCTATGGACACATTTAACAGGCTGGTGCTATTATTTGTACAATGGGCATACGTGCCACAATTTTCACTCGTTAAATTATGATGGAGTGGCATGTGGAACCAATGATTGTTTCAAAGTTCAATTGGATTTACGATACAATGGTACATTATCGTTTGCTAGAAACGGTCAACCCTTGGGAATTGCATTCTCTGATCTTTGCAAAAAGCTTAATGGAGAGGACGATGTGTTTTATTTTGCCGTAGCTCTGTACAGCTCTGGAGATTCGGTCTCAATTATTAAAAATTGATTGGTGACGTCTTGAAAAGTTGGAGACTTTAGAGTTTGGACTGTCGTTCAGAAAATTTTCGGGCGCCTTGTAGTGTTTCCATATTCAAAAGGGCTAGCCATACCGTATTCCTTTTGCAGTTTTGCTCGAAGAGGGCTATACACTGAATCGTAAGCTGATAATTTATCGTGTCTCATGCACAATTGAGGAAAGGTACAGAGTTGTTTGGCTAATTTAGTGGCCTCTTCCAAGACATTATCATTTTCAGATACTAATCGATTTGCAAGGCCAATATTATATGCTTCACAACCATCAATTTCACGTCCAGTTAATATCAAGTCCTAATCATTGAGAATTCAAGCAGGGTATATTTCCAAATGATTAGAAGAAGAACGGTGAGGTACATGCAACATTGTGCAAATGAGAAATTATAATTTAAATTTCAAAGGTTGTTTGTCCTTTTTCAATCATTGTGAAAATGCACCACGAAACTTACCATTGCTCGTGAAAGGCCTAGAAGAGCTGGTAATCGAATTGTTCCTCCATCAATAAGAGGCACTCCAAATCTTCGACACAACACACCAAAAATTGAATTTTTCTTGCACACTCGTAAATCACACCACGCGGCGAGTTCCAAACCACCAGCACAGCAGTAACCACTACCAATGGCTGCAATAACGGGTTTAGATAAGACCATTCTCGTTGGTCCCATTGGACCCTTCAATGTTTCGTATGCAGATTCTACTTGATTCATATTTCCTTTCGCCACTTCTTTCAAATCAGCGCCCGAACAAAACATATCTTCTCCTCCATAAAGAATGGCCACAAGGGCAGTTTCATCCTTTTCAAAATTATAAAAAGCTTGGAACAACTCATCGGCACATGGACGATGGACGGCATTCTTCACATGAGGACGATTAATCCTAATAATTGTAATACCCTTCTCTTCGGGACATTGTGATACAATAATGTGTCTAAAGTTTGTTTTCGGAGCCAGTGGATGTTGTTTTGGAAGACTGTTCGTGTGATGATGACTTCCGTGATACTTTTATGTCGATGAGAAGTGAATATATCTTCCGATTCAAGAAATGCCGAATTTTCCTGCATATTCATGTGTTTCTTTGTGTGGTGGTCATCACTAGTGGTTGTTGTTGTTGCTGTTGTGGATGAAATGGGGTTGGTTGGAGAACTATTACTCATAGGATCGGAATGTACCCGAACATCTCTACTTGTAGTACAATTCCGTGTGGTGGTGGTGGTGGTGGTTGCCCCAGCAGTAGTAGTAGTAGTGGCCTTTCCTTCTTCTTTTTCCGATAAGTCCTTTCTTTGGCTGTGAGAGTGGTGTGGAAGAAAAACGCAGGCACTAGCTTGGACATTTTTTCTTTGGCTTGTTTGTTTTTAATATATGAAGAAGAGGAAGAAGGATTCAGGACACAGTTTGAGAGAACTGAAGAAGTGAGTGTTTGGAATTGAATTGAACATGCCCAGTGGAGTCTTCCTTTGGGTGCTGCTTGCGTTGTTTTTCCCAACCTAACAAGAGATTCGTTTGAGGTTTTTGGAAACAACAAAAAAATATTGAAAGCAAAGACCGAGAATTTCATATCTCTCTTGTGCCTAAAAGACATTCATCCTTAAGAGTTTCAAAATGAGGAGCTCACTCACCGATGAAATTAAAAACAAATTAAAGAAAAGTGGAAGGAAGCATTTAAATTGAGTGTAGAATTTAATTCCGATAGGGCCATTCATGAGGATCAATCATTGAAATATTTACATACTAAGAAAAATGTGGCAGGTGAGTACACAAGTTGAAAATTGATGTAAATGAATGAATTTGGAAAATGATGAAATATGTACAATGATAATGTGAATATGGTCGATTTTAATCCAATGATGGATTTCCTGTCCTTG